TAGCACTCAGCTTTGCTGTTTTACCCCAGATGTCTCCCCTAGTTCAAGGAAACTACTTGCTTTTGTGCACTATCCTCCCTTCATCCTCTATTTTTAAGACTCATTGTCTCTATTCCATTTGCTACTTTGGCTAGCTCTTCTGTAGACAGAGTGTTGCAAAAGTGTTGTAAAATCATTTATGCCTTGTACCATCTTTTGTTCTTTACTCACACATGAAATTGCACAAGTGGCCAGAGCTACTGTCATTTTTCTCTTGACTTTTTTCTCAGTTGCAAGTGATGCCTTATTAGCTTTAGTGTCACGCACTGAAGTCTCCACAGTGTGAAAGCCAGAGACTTGTGGAGACCATTCCATAAGGATGTGGTGTATTTCAAGTGTCACAGCATTTCCTTCATGGCCGTCTGACTCCAAATATGGTTTAAGTTCTCCACATCACATACAGCCATGTCACCCCTTTTTCCTGTCCCCAAAGTTGTTCAATTTGTCTGAGATTGTCTGTTCTTCTGTATATAAAGAGAGAGGTATGTCTCTGTTTCAAAAAGTTCAGTCACTCTCTCTGTATCCTCAATAACTGTGTTAATGAGCTCAACACTGAAGGTGTTTTGCAGATTCACCTGTTCTCTTTGAATGACATCCATTTGAAAACAAACAGCTCTCCAACTCTCTGCTACGTAGATCACTTCTCTGTCTCACAGCCCAGAAAAACTGAAGTACTGTTTTCTTCCTCTTTTTTCCCCAATTCTTCCTAGTGTTTCTAGTTTCAGAGTCCAGAGGCAACATATTTGCCAAGCACAAGCTTTAGGAGTTTGTCTCTTCTCCTGATAGCTTTAAATGCCTTAATTTGTGTCAAGTGGTGTGACCACACAAAAGAGAGGACAAATCAGCTGTCAACAATTTGGATGTTTTTAAAAACACTCTGAGAACTAAGGACCTGCCTAAGGCTGGGCCTTAATGAACATCATTTAGAAGGGAAATAGAGTACAATGTTGCCTTATAGAATAAAAATTCATTAGGAGTTCAGGCAACACGAATTCAAAAGCCTGGTGCAGCCAGTGAAGAGGTTTGCACCTCATCTTTCTAAATCCCAAAGAGTCTCCTGGCTATGGAGACACATTTGTCTTTCTTGCTTATTGGGAAACTCCTTTCCACCAGAACTGGTATGCAGGTGTAGGAGTAGGCTTGCTCTTATTCATCGTGTGTGAAAAAAGCATGATAGAAACCACTGCAAAGAACAGCAGAAGAGTGCACTTTAGAGAGAACAAATCTATATCCAGGTGTCTAAAAATTCACTTATAAAGTTAAGCCACAGGCTTTTAAAGTCAGGAAGCTTTTAGCCACAAAGAACTGACTCCATGTGCATCCCTGTTCACCAAGTGACTGTTATTAAAGCACCCAAAATAAGAAAAGAGTAGTTCCCAAACTAGGATATCCCATCAGGAAATACTTCAGTGAAAGACATGAACTGGCTGCTGCGAACGTGTTCTGATTCAGCAATAATTCCATAAGAATGTTTATCTTCCTTTAAATTTAGAATAAATTCAAGTCTGCCCTCCCAACCCTGTTACTAATTTGAAGTGTATCAGTAATACACAGAGAGGCTGAAGTAATGCAGCTTTAAGACCCAAAACTGAGAGAACCCCTTCTTGCCGCTGGCTGGCAGCGGAAACGGCATCGAGATCTGCAGTCTTGCACAACCCTGAAGTTTCGTGCTCATCGTGCACAAAGTAATTGGTTATTCCCAGGGGGACTAGAACAAAGGAGAAATAAAACACTAATGTGGCAGATCTCAGCCACTGACGCGGTGCCGCTCGCTTGCAGCGCGGCTGTGACAGCTTCGTGATGCGGGTGACAAACGCTGGCAAAGGAGTCCCAGCTGGGCTGGGGGGCCTGACAAAAAACAAGCCAAACACAGCCACGGGTGTGGAACCAGAAACGAAACGGCTGAGACTGTGAACCACAGCTTTCAAACAGCCGGCTGGTGCTGCAACACCTCTCACCAGCGCGGCTCTGCCAGAATTCTTACCTACGGCACCTTCGGGCGCAGCTGTGCTCTCTACCAAACACCATTTAGCTATTTACCAAATAAAAATATGCAACAAATATATTATTTATGTGATCATAGACCCAATGTACTTTGAAACACATCATCGCCGGTTCCCCGGACCCCTGAGCGCTGCCGGGTGCAGTACCCTGCCCACCCCCGGGAGCCGTGGGCCCAGTCTCCGCCTCGCAGGGCCAAGAAGATGCCGCTCTTTCTGTGCTATCTCTAAACCCGGCGCCCAGCACTGACTCCCCAGTCCTCCCCGGTAGCTCCAGAGACGGCAGTGAGGGGCACAGGCGGGATTCCGCGGGACCGGGAGCTCCTGCCAAGTGGTCCCGGCGAGGCTCTGGGAAAGGGTCGGTGGGGATGGGCCAGTGCCCGAGACCCTCCGCATCGCCAGTGCCGGGGGTCCCAGGTTTGCACAGCCCTGGCCGTGACCCGGTTCCGAGCGCACGGAGACGGAAATCCCCGGCGGGAGGAGGCGTGGAGAGAGAAAGGAGAACGGCCCACGGCGGGCAGCTGCCGGCTTGGCTTAGCTCAGCTCAGCTCTGCTCTGCTCAGCTCGGCACGATGAAGTCGCGAGGGTGAGTAGTGACCCCGGGCCGCGGAAAAAAGGGACCTGCCGCCCCCCTCATTCATCGCTGGGGTACGGGGGGAACTCCCCGGCTGGCTCCGGGACAGGGATGCGCATCCCCCTTTTAGGGAAACCCGAGCTTCGCTGCTGCAGCGGGCAGGGAAAGCGCTGGCGCGGGTGGGCTGTCTGACTGGAATCAGGGGCGAGGGGAACACTCCTGATCCCTGGACAGCGGTTGCGACGATAAAGGCTCCCGGAGGCAGCTCCTGTCGGCAGCTCCCGTCCCCCGGCGGGTCCCGCAGCGCTCCCGGTTCTCGGAGCCGCGGGACCGGAGCCGAGGGGTTGAGGATGTTCCCAGAACCTCCTTCCCCCGTCAGCCGGGCTGGAACCCCTTGTCTCTCCGCGTTCGAGGGCTACAGGCAATTAACGGGCATTTTATGGAGATTTTTAGCCGAAAGTGAACTATGGGAGATGACTCAGCTGAGTTTTTATTGCCCAGGTTGGCGTTTCTTTAGGGCAAGTGTTAGAAAAGCTCCGCAGGTAACTTATTTGGGGCACCTGCTGATGCGAGAAGAGCCGTGTCGCTACAAGGGTAGGGGGTAAAGTGGATCTCAAGGGGGTAAAGTGGATCTCAAATTGTTGTTGTAACTGAAAGCATCGGGACGTCTTTTGCCTGGCAGGGTTGTGCCAGAGCAGCAACCTTCCATGGCTCTAAGATGAGCAGTGATGGAAAAAATGCTGGTAGGAAGAATGATCTCATCAAATAAGAATGTATGAAAAGGGAACTGCAACTTTCTCCTGTTTCATATGGCATTAAAAAAAAAAAATTGCAGAAGAGGGAAGGTGTGGGAAAGACTTGAGAAAGGAAAAAATAATTAAAGTTAAAATACCTTTTAAAAATCAGAGAAAACCTGAGAAACTTACTGGAGCTCACTGCTAGTGTGGGGGACACAGGAGCTGAGTGTACATAGAGGACAAAACAAAGGTTTTGCTGCAGGCAAGAGCATTTCTCCCTTTTTCCAATAGAAGCTGGGAATTAATGCTATTCCAGAGGAACACGGTGGGTTGACACTGCCCCCACACAACCACAGCTGCAGCCTCCTCCAAGTAAGAGGATGAGATCTGTCCAATCTTGGCTGTGCATCATTATTAAAATAAGAAATCAGGATCTGCTTTGTGTACATACATACATATGAGAATCGGTTCTGGCTGACTATTGGAATGTTTGTTGACATTAGCAAAAGTCTACCATGGGAAATTCCCTAAGGAGTCCCTTAAAGATAAGTCAGTTACTTTTTGTATCTCATTCAAATGAGTTGCTATATCCATAATTTCCATGTGGGTGGGGATTGATAAAACAAACACAGGATTAAGAAAGATTAAAGACTACATTAAACTGATGTTATCAAGACAGATCTCTAGAAGCCTGGCACAAAAGTGATGACTCCTGCACTGTATAAAAATACAACAGGAATACAATACAAAGCCATGTGCAAAAGCCACCAAAAGTCACTGACAGAGCAGAGCAGAGCAGAGCAGAGCTGCCTCTCTGGAATGTTTAGGTACAATTACTTAGGAGAGTTCCTTTAAGCATGATGGCAGATTCACTAAAATAAGTAATAGAGCAGAAATGTTCTACGCTGGTCATCCACTTAAACATTTGAAACCTCATCTATGAAACCGTTTCAAAGGACACAGAAAAGAAAAATGAAGTGTTTCCTTCATATAAAAGAAATACAGTTCATACTGCTTCTCCCCAAAACTTTCTCCATCTCAGTCTCTGGAGATGGGGCTTCGAGTGGAGGTAGATTTTGTGTCAGGAATGTTCTGTGCTTTCTCCATGGGAAGCCAAATATGTTTGGGGGGATTATAACTTTGGGGGGGGGGGGGGGG